CGCGCTGGCGGCCGGGGGCTGCCCCGGGGCCGCCGCGGCCGGCCCGTCGTCGTGGACGCGCTCCTTGGAGAGGGCGCTGGAGGAGGCGGCGGCCAGCGGCGCCCTCAGCCTGAGCGGCAGGAAGCTGCGCGACTATCCGCGGGGCAGCGCCGCCAGCCACGACCTCAGCGACACCACCCAGGCCGGTAAGCGCGGGCGGGCCGGGCTGCCGGGGCTGCCGCGCTCCGGAGGTGCTGGGCGGCGGGCGAGGGGCGCGCCGACGCCCTCGGGGCAGCGCTTCCCGGCGGGTGCCTCCGGCGCGGCCGGTCCCCGCTCCCAGCATCCCCGGCCGGCCACCTGCTGCGCCCCGAAGGCACTGAGGCGCGGGAGGGTGCCAGCGGGAGCCCTCGGGGCTGTCGGGCTCCGTGCGGGAGCCGCTGCGCCCCGGAGGTTCCGAGAGGGGAAGCACGGGAGCGAGAGCCCTGGCGCCGGCGGTGTCGCACGTCGACTCCCAGCATCCCCATCCGGCGCTGCTGCGAACGAGTTGCGGGGAGGGGGGGAGTGTGGGCCGAGGCTCCAGGCGCCCCGCGTCCGCTGCGCCCCCGGCTGTGCCGAGCAGCGGGACGGGGCTCGAACGGCGGCGCCCCCGGATGCGCTGCGGGCAGCGGGCCCGAGGGGAGCGCAGGGGCCCTGCTCGCCCCGGGGTGGCTCGGAGCCCGGCGCGTGTGCTGGTACCTGCCGGGAAGGGGCCCAAGGTGTGGGGCTGCGGGGAGGGGTACCAGCTCTCCACACGCACAGCCCCCCCCCACCGCAGGGGGAGAGCGGGGCCGCCCCAGAGGGGAACTGCCACCGAAGACCTGCTGCTTGGTGTGGAGGGAAGTTGCCCTTGCCTTCCCCCACCCCACCCCGTGCATGTGCGCAGGCTTGGCTGTATTTCTTCCGTTTCATAATAACATCAAGTTATGCCGCCCCTCAGCCCATCAAAAAGTCTTCCAGAATGACTTAAAGCCAAACAGTAAACGCTGGTGAGCCGTTGTAAGGCAGACATAACACATCTGGCTGCATCTCTGTGGAGAGTGCCATTTTCTGCACAGCCCTTTAGAAGTCAAGCCCTCTTGGACTCCGTGGTGTTTTTTTCTTAGGAAGCGGTTTGCAAATTGGCCTGGGTGGTGATGCAGAAGAGGACTGCAGCTGCCTCTGCATGGGCTAAATTTCACACGAGGGTTCCGATTAGGGTTGCAATCCAAAACGCAGTTACTGGGGAGTAAATCCCACTCAAGTAAGTCAGAAGGGTCAACTTCTGAGTAAACAAGCATAAGGATCCTTTGGTGGTACTTTTGAAATCTGTGATCTAAGCTTTTGTAAATTACAAATCTTGTTTCAGATGCAGAAGGATGTTGGAAATGCCTGTGTGGTGTTATCTGAAATCTAAAAGTTACTAATTTGCATTTTATATAGCATCTTTCGTCCATGTCACTAGGTGTACAGTGGAATAGATACAGAACAGACGGTCTTACCAAAGTGCGAAGGGTAGTAGAGAAAGTTTGTGTGGTTTTGTCAAATAAGCAAATACTTATTTAAAACAACTTCAGCCACCTTTTTGTTGGAAGATGCTTCAAGATGGTAAAGTGGGTTTTTTAACATATAGTACTGCCTGTAGGCTTGATTGTATGTGTACAGCAAAGGAGAAGCAGAAAGCAGTTCCTTGCCCCAAGGATGAGCCGTACAATATAAAGTTGACAAAGAAGTTGATGGGTGTGGAGAAGGAGAAGTAAAGCTAACAAGGGATTAATCTGAGCAAACGCAGTTACACATGCTAAAGGTTTGCTTAGATTGAGAGCAGTAAAACTTATAACCTGCTTTTCTACTGTATGAGTGCCAAGGCTGGTATACAAGTGACTCCCATCCATTTAAAATGAGACAGAGCAATTTATAAAAACATAGTGGGAGTGGAAGGCAGATCACTTTGCTACAAAAGGGGCTTCATCGCTGGAGTAGAGGAGTCCCACGGTTTTGAGAATTGCACCTGCCATGGCCATGTTCTCACAAGCTTAGAGAAAGGAGACTTTCTGCTGTGAAGTTGTCGAGTTGGCTGAGGATCATCCTGGAAGCTAGCAAGGAATGCTGGGGACTTGCAAGCGTGTTCTCTCCACACACCCGTGTTACTCAGATTGTATGGACCCATGTGAGCTGGAGAGAGGCATCACTAGATCAGAAGTGCAGAACTCCCCACCCTGGCCCCGAGCTTTTCCTCCCAGTCACTGATTGTTTTGTGGCTTCCCAGCTTTTGTGCAGCTTGCCCTTGTATTCTGAAAGGTGCAAATGCCTCTCCTAAGGCTTGGAGACTGACAACAGGCGCTTTCAGCTAAACTATGCTGGTCTCTCCCCCCTCCACACACACACACACACACTGTTAGGCCCTCCCATCACTGGCATATATATGGCTCTGAATCTCACACTTCAGCTGAAGGAGGTTCCATGCCTGGAACTAGAGATTAGGCGGTGACACGTGCAGAGTAAACATTGTGGCACACAAAAGTGGACCTAGGCCCAGGGTTGAGTGCGGAATTTTTAAAGACTCTTTGATTATAAGGCAGGGAAAAGCTCGTGCTTCGGGGCAGGGTAGGACCTCTTCCATCATGTGGAGAACTGCTGTCATATGTGTGTGTAAGTTGTTGCTCTGTTTTAAAGAACCCCATATTCCCTTCTAAATATGGCTTTGGCAAGACTGGTAACTGCCAATTTGACATGGCGCTTACACAATCACGTGCAGAGCCTGAGTGGCAGTGAGTGCTGAGCATGGATAAAAATGCAAAATGTATTAAGTATTTACAGGCTCATTTAAACAAGAACTCGCGGTCAGACTAGGCTGTGTGAAATGAATGGCATATTGATGGGCCCAGATGAATAGTCACGTAACCAAACAGGAAGGAATATAAATCTGTGACTAAAATATACTGTTCCCTTGGTATGATTACGGTTAGAACTGTTTATTGCAAGTATAAATGTGAATCAGCTTTGTGAAACCTCTCAGTGCCCATTGTTGAATGAATTCAGAAGTTACCATCCATGGATGTAAATGTTCAAACAGATATAACTTTACACAAATGTGGTATCTTAAAACATAGACTTCTACTAGGAGAATGTCCGGTTGAAAAGGTTTAGGATATGAAGTTTGAGAAACCTGAGTTCAAAGCCAGTTCATTTGTCTATGAACTTGCTGGGTGACCTTGGACACGTCAACTTGAATGTTTTAATGTTAGAAATAGCATAGATGTGATAACAGCATGAGTAATCTATTTGTGGTATAATTGCAGTTCTTTTAACTTTCAGGTGATTCCCAAAATTGGTGTGAGAGTAATATTTGAGAAATAGTATTTTTAAAATATTTGGTGCCTTTGGAGAAAACCAGTGCTTCCGGCTTTCTTCAGGAGCTATAAAACGTATTCTTAGATACAGTCTAGAAAAACTGTTGGTAGTCCTACTAACCCTGCAGGATAAGTCAAAGTATTATTCCCCTACTGAAAGAAACACAGAGCCCTGGCTTGCACATAACAGCAAGTCAGGGTATAAATTGTCATTTAATTGTAGGTTGTTTCATGCAAATTTTACTGTGGTTTAACTGTGGGTTGTTAAGCATGTACAAACATAGAAACAAAGCAAGCCATCTAGTCTGACACCTGACTCCCGGGCTATCGAGTCTGATCCCCAACTCCACTCATGTAATCCCCGACATGGGATTGTCCAATCTTTCCTTGAACACCCCCACTGATGCGGCCTCAACCACCTCCCTTGGAAGCTCATTCCATATCCTAGGGGTCCTAACCATCAGGAAGTGCTTCCTGACATCCAATAACCCAGAAAGGAAAATCATGGTTTGTTGTGCTGTGAACTCTTGATTTGTTTATGGTTAAAAATTCATGGGGCAGGGTTCACATGTAAAGACAACCCATAATCTGTCTGTAATAACCTGCACTTGTGTAACCGCTGGTTGTGCATTTAGTCTCAAAACGTCCCATCGGTCTTAGTTCATATACAAGCTGTAGAGAGGAGGGACCATCTCTTGCTCATTGCAGACTAAGTGGAAGTGGAATAAATAAATATCCAGAAAGATTCATCTGATTCTGAGAAGGAGGCAGAGGGTGGGTGAGGGGACAGGGACTTTGATGCTTCAAGGTTACCTCATGCAGCTTCTCTGGTGGGGTGTGAGAATTGGCTTGCTTGGAAGGGGCAGAAGGGTTTTCCAGGCCAGGAGGGGGAGCATACGTGAGACCCAGCCCTTGACCTCGCAAGGAGGCAGTGGCAGAAATGAGCTGACCAATTAGCTGGTCTGGCTTTTCCAGTTGCCCTGCTTGCAAGAGCAACCCTGAGGGCGAAGTCAGAAGCTGCGCAGAAAGGAAGTTTCCAGTTTGGATTCGACTCTGGGCAGATGCGTCTCCCTCTGCTTTGATAGAAAGGCATTAGAGTTCATACTGTCCTAATATAACATAATCTGTTATGTTTCAGTACAAAGAACTACACTTCAAAGGGTTGTCTTGAGTTTGATAACCAGGAGGAAAGACATAGGGACCAGCTCACAACAGCAACCTTTTTGTGTAAAGTAATGGGCACTGGGGAGAAAATCAGATATAAGCTAGAGGAATCTGAGCTTGTGGTGATTTAAAGAGAAAGGGGTCTTGGGACAGCGCGATTAAAATGCTGAAAATTAAAGTAAAACTGCCGCTGTTATATAAACCCTATGGTATGAGCACACTTAGCTTATTGTGTACAGTTCTGCTCTCTGCACGTGAAAGGATAATGTGGAACTGGAAAAAGTACAGAAAGGAATAGTGAAAATAATACAAGGGGTGGCGTAACTCCTGTATGAGGAAAGGTTGTAACTACTGCGATTATTTTGCTCGGAAAAAATGTGAGTCAGGTGTGTACGGCATTACGCACGGTGTGGAGAAAGTAGAGAAGAAGGCATATTTCTTCCCCTCTCAGAACACTAGGACCTGGGGATTTCCTATGACGCTGGTTAGTAGATTTCTCTTCAGAGCTGCTACTTTGGCTGGCATGAAGTTGTCTTATGGAGGCGAGGGCTGCCAGTGGCTACTAGTCCTGATGGCTACATGCCGCCTCTAGCACCAGGAGCAGGATGCCCACGTACATTTCTTGCGGAGGAACTTGGGCAAGAGGGTGCTGTTGCACCCCTCTCCTGCTCGTG